GACCGGGATGCGGACCCTCGCAAATTCATTAATCAAGAAAGCCCGTGCATGGTCAGCTCATTAATGGCGGCGCGATCTACTATTTCGCGAGGTGCGCACAAAGACCGGAGACTTACATGGCCGCTTCCTTCTCTTTTCTCGGCTCCATTTTCCGACGAGTCGTCGCGGTCGCCTTTCGTTCGATCATTCGTTCGCTCACTTGCTCGTTTGTTCGCTCGCTCGTCGTTCGCTTGCTCGTTTGTTTGCTGCTTCGCTCGCTTGGCCGAAATCCAAAAGATCGACTCTTCCGGCTTCCGCGTGAACATCTCCCTGTGAGCGACCACTCGCAGGGCACTCCCAGGATGCCTTTCGCGATCCTGTCGCGGCACACCGCCGCTCCGTGGACGCTTCCCGCTCTTTCCAGCAGCTTGCCACAGGTCTTCACGGATTAGCTTCGCAGCCACCGACGAGCATGAAACTCTTTGTTGCTTTGTCACAAAATGTCCGGGCTCGACGGCCCTTCCACAACTCGCGATCGCACGCTAAATATTCAAGTAAAAACCCCCGGCATACGCTAATAATAATCGTAACCCGCGGACGCCTCGTTCGCACGGACACCCTGCTGCCAAATCAACGGGTTCGCACAACCTCGACCTTTCTGTAACAGGCGCCCCAGGCTGCCACGTTACATCGTATAATTTTATATATATAATTCTGTATAAACATAATTTTTAACATATCTATTATCTTGCTGATTACCAAGATAAACTCGTAATGCTTGTCAAGATCGAACTCATGAAAAAGCAACATATAGTTGTCCATGATTAAATATATCTTTACGAAGATCTATTCACATTCTGTCAAACGTTTGTTCTTGAGATTTATTAACTGTCATAGTAAAAGCTAATTTTATTGGTAATTGTCTCCGTTTTAAATTAAAAGGATATATATTTTCACAATTTAATGTTATACGATTCAAGAAAACAATATCTGCTGCCATATTACAGCATAGCATCTTGTAATGTTTTTTCAATTATACGCCAGCTTCGGGTTCGACATAACGAGCTTCAATATAATCTCGTATCTCGTTAATTTGTTTACAATTTGTTAAAAAAAAATTTTCTTCAACCAACCTGTAATCATTTCTAGGATCCATACCAAAAACTCAATAGTTACTTTTTTCATATCTCTACTGGTTTAAGCATGAGCTTTAATGAGATAATTTAGACATAATGTTAAATATTATACTGTAAATATATATGTAACATATTCGTATAATTTTAAAATTATACATATAATACTGTATAAACATAATTTTTAACATATCTAATATTTCGCTGGTTACCAAGATAAACTCGTAATGATTCCTAAAATCGAACTCGTGAAAAAGCAACATAAAGTTGTCCGTGATTAAAAACATCTTTACGAAGATCAACTCCTACTTTTGTAACGACATAAAATTCTTTATCCCGTTACGCTGACTGCCGCCTAACATCACGCGGCAGTCAGCTGAGCATACATTCCCCGACCCGCGCCTAGCACTGCGTTCAGCCCAACTTGCCCGACTACCAGGCAGCGACGCTCGGGAACGTCGGCCGCCGAGCCGAGTTTTCCGGAACGATCTCCCGTTATTGTGCCGTCTTTTGCGATAGTGAGATCGCGCGGCGAATTTGCCGTCACTCCGGTGAGTTTTCCGGAATGATCTCACGTTCTGGTGCCGTCTCTTTGCGATAGGGAGGTCACGCGGCAAGTTTACCGCCACTCCGGTGAGTTTTCCGGAACGATCTCCCGTTATTGTGCCGTCTTTTGCGATAGTGAGATCGCGCGGCGAGTTTGCCGTCACTCCGGTGAGTTTTCCGGAGCGATCTCGTAATTTCTTTTGTTTCTCTATTTCATAAAATAGGACTCTGGGATGGCAAGGGCCGACCCTATAGGATTTCGCACACCAGCCACGCGTGCAGGGACCACGCGGGCCGCCCGCACCCTCGACCACCACGGCAGCCGACATTGCAGCCGAGGATAAGAACGAGCGCGACGCGTTTTTGCCCGGATTTTTGCGGCCCGTCGTCGAGTCGCGTGTCGAATCACCCGAGCTTTAATTCTCGGCGAAAACACCCAACACCGCACGTCGTGAGTTTCTCGGTGCGTACCGCACGACAGCTAATTGGTGACTCCGTATTCACCTTTTGTATGAATCAGGCGACGGGCGTAACATTTGCTTAATCAGGCAACGAGCGCATCCCGCGTCGCGACGGCGAACACGTGTAGGCCGCAGCAACCGCGAGAATAACTCGCACGATCGACTAAAACACCCAAACATTGGACCATCACGTCGCAACACGCGGTCGTAGCGTGCGACTCAATAAAGACTTATTGTGTTAGACATATTCGCTTTCTTTTATTGACACGCACACACACACCTTCCCCCCAAAAAAATCTCTCCTGTGGTCGGATCGCAAACAACGATCCGACCCGCAGGACCGGATCGACCCGAAAAACCGAGCCCGGAGGCGCGACCGTTACACTTTATCGAACGTTTGACCCTGAGATTTGTTAATTGTCATAGCAAAAGTTAATTTTATGGGAAATTGTCTTCTTTCAAAAGTAAAAGGATATACATTTTCACAATATAGTGTTATACGATTTAAGAAAACAATATCTCCTGTTTTAACTCCAGTTAAAATTTTGCATTTTAATAAATTATTTGCAAGTTCAAGAACTATTAATCTGGTGCCGTTACAAAGACCTTCATTGCTACTAAGATTTCTGATTAACATAACAATACAATTTGGTCTTAAACGTAATTCATGAGGAAGACATGGTGGAGAAAAACTATTTAAATATTCGTAATAAAGTAATAAAGCTTCGACAATATCATCATTATTATCATTATCTATAGCATTATCAACACTTGTATAAATTCGTTCGTCACTTGCATCTAATATTTCAACAACTTGCTTGTTAATTTCATCTACATCAACATTTCTTGCAGAAAGAATTGCCCTTTTAGCTAACTGATCAAATTCTTTTTTATGAATTATATCGCCATATATATCTGTTACAATATTTGAATCAATTGGTGTTACACAATATTCAGGAATTTCTATATTATCTATAGAATCATTTAATGTTCCATCACCTACGTCTAATAAAAATTTTGCAAATTGAATTTCTTCCAAATGTACTCGCATATTTTGCATTAAAGAAATATTTAAGAAATATTTCCAGGTGTAACTAAATTTGATAGAAAGATTCACCGTTTCACTTCGAGTACCTTATATTTTGATCGGAAGAAGTTGTCTAAAATCACCACCTAAAACGATAATTTTGCCACCAAAAGGTAAATCGTTGTTCATAATATCACGCAATGTTCGATCTACAATCTCTAAAGCATACCAAGGTGCCATTGATGCTTCATCCCAAATAAAAATATCTATTTCTTTTATGTATTTAGCTTCTTTTGATTGAATTCTTATAGTAGATGACGAATCGTTAAATAACGGGACTGGCAAACTGAATGCCTTATGAACTGTTTTTCCTTTAGGGAGTAATATCGCTGCAATTACTGTAAAGGCCATGTTACATATATATTTATTTATAATTTTGGCTAAATAATATATAGTTGTATAGTTGTACAAATGTTTTGTCTGATCCACCAGGACCATCAATGTAAAAGCAACTGTTACTATTATTATTATTTTCTAATCTATTTAATACAATATCGATGTTCCGTACAGCATCACGTGCTGTACGGATAGTCGGTGCGAGTCAACGCTGCAGGGCGGGCGGCCTGGTGCCCGGGGCGTTCTCGCTGGCGGCGGGGGACTCGGGTTCTCGCGAGCGAGCGCGCGGGACCCCCACTAGGTCCAACCGCGGCCGCTACACGGCGCGGCTCGCGATTCCGCTGCCCGCGGGCAAGATTCGACCGCCCGGATATATAACCAGGCGCGCGATGCCTGGTCCTTGCCTTGTCTTGTCTTCTGCCTGGCCAGTTTAGATAGCAAGTAGTGCTACACGTTAGTGCATCGTATTACTGGTGATTACCGACGCGCTTTCTAGGCTTCCTAGGGCGATCGGGTATTTCGTTTCAGATTCGAACCACTGCTCTATAGACTCTGCTGAGTTGAAGGTGGCGCCGACACACCCTGCTGGGTTGAGGCAAATGGTTCGAATCTCGTTTTGTGATCTCGGGCTCACGGCGTTGCCGTGATCTTAGGAGCGACTCGACCGTCTCCTCGGAGCTTCGAGCTCCCTTATTGCCCAAGTGTCCGTAGGGGGCCTTTGGCGGTTTTGGAGCGGCTCGGTCGCAGTCCTAGAGCGTTTGCGCTCCTTCGTCCAAGTGTCCATTGGGAACTTGGCTTTCTCGCAGGAGCGACTTGGTCGTCCTGCGAGCCGGAGCTCTCGGAGCTCCGTTTCCACGCGTCCTCGGGACCGTGGCTGGCTATTGGCCATTACGCCCGGAAGGGCAGGCCATCCGAAACGACGGAGGTCGTTTCGTTGCACGTCCTTGGCGTGCTTCGGGTGCCGCGCACCGTTGACGTCACGGACGTGTGTCCTGCGGGACTTGCGTAGGCGACGTTGTTTCGCTTGTATATAGCTACGTTTAGGTTCTTCTGCGTCGTTCTTCTGCGTTATTCTCTTCTGCGTTACTACTGCGTTTATTGCGTCCATTGCGTTTACACTGCGTGTCACTTTACGTCGGCACGTGCGCGTGCTTCTTCTCTCTTGTTCTCGCCGCCGTCCCTGGGCATGGCCCAGTCGGCGCGCGACGCGGCCTGATCAGCAGGGTCTGTGGTCGCCTTGCGAGGCCCCGGCCTTTGATCAGGACGACCGGACGGTCACCGAGCGGACTCGAGCGAGCCTAGACGCAGGCGGACGTCGCTCTGCGATCCCGTACTTCCAGCCAGCTCTCCGGAGCTATCCTATGTTCGGGCTAGTTCCGAACATAATTTTGGTCCTTCGAGCCGGATCGGGAGCGGTAGTCTCGGACCTGGGTCGGTTTGTTTAGCTCGGGCTCCGTTATGTCTAAGGAGGAGGACATTCTTGGGCTCATCGAGCTGCAATACGACCGGCAGCACCGCATGGAGCGGCTGCTGGACAATGCACGCAAGTCCGGTCAACTGAAGTCAGTTGGCGGGTTGACGTCTCGTTTGCAGGTTCTCGACACGTACTGGGCTCAGTTCCAGGATGATCATCGCACGATCCGAGCGTCTCGCCTCAAGACCGTGCGAGAGTCAGACTACGTGCAACAGGATGCCTGTGGCACGGTACAGGAAGTCTACATTGCGCAGCGCGCAGAAATCCAAACCCTGCTCGATGGGTTGAAGGTTCAGGAGGCTGAGTCGGCTGCTCACGCAGTTCCCGCGCAGGCGGTAGTGCCCGAGGCTTCGTTGCCTCGCATTCCCATTCCGAAGTTCGAAGGGAAGTTTGACGAATGGCGCAATTTTAAGGATCTCTTCGAGTCCTTAATAGTCGATAACCCGTCGTTAGCATCAGTTCACCGGATGCATTATTTAAAACAGAGCGTGTCGGGAGAGCTTGAACGTCTGCTCCGGCACTACGGCGTCGCTACTGGCTCGTTTGAGCAAGCGTGGGAAGCGCTATGTGCACGGTACGATAACCGTCGTTTGCTTGTGGACCAGCATCTCGACGCTTTCCGGGATATTGGCCCGATGCGTCAGGAGAGCGTCTCCGAGGTTCGGAGGCTGCTGGATCGAGCCAGCGAGCTGCGAGCCGCCTTGCGCCTTCTTGACCAGCCAGTGGATGCTTGGGACGTGATATTGGTCAATATCCTCCGTTTCAAGCTAGACTCTGCAACGCGGCGGGCCTGGGAGATGGCCACCGCGGACCGGCGCGAGCCAGTGAGCTGGGACAGACTGGCAGTCTTCCTGGACGAGCGTCGGGTGGCGCTCGAGGCGGTTGCCGCGGCTCCGTCCATTGGGGACAGCCCCCGTGCCTCATCGGCATCCGAGCGGACTGGTCGACGATCGCTGCATCTCCATCGGCCCAAGCCGACCCGTTGCGCTGAGTGCGGTTCTGAGCATGGACTCAGAGAGTGTTCGGCCTTTAAAGATTGGCCGGTCTCTTCGCGACGGGCAAGGGTGCGCGCTCTCGGGTTGTGCTTCAACTGCCTCGGTCCGTCGCACCAGGCGGCCGCTTGCCCGTCTAAGGGTCGATGTCGGGAGTGCGGAGAGCCGCACCATTCACTTCTGCACTCCGCCCAGCAGTCTCCGGCCCCGGCGTCGGGGGAAGCGCCGGTCACGGCGCATGCTGCGACGCGGATGCCTGCGCAGCGAGTGCTTTTGGCCACAGCCAGGGTTTGTCTGATGGCGTCCGATGGCCGATCCGCTGTGGTTCGAGCGCTCATTGACCAGGGCTCTGAGGTGAGCCTGGTGTCCGAGGCGCTTGCGCAGCGGCTGCGCGCGTCTCGTAGATCGGTGGATGTCGGGCTGTCGGGCGTCTCAGAGGGACCCTCTCAGCGGGTGCGGGCCAGCACGTCATTGCGGCTCAGGGCAACTGCTGGCCTCCCGTTCTCCACCACGGTGGAGGCCCTCATTCTACCGAGGCTTACGGCGTACCACCCCCCGCAGAGGGCTCGGCTGACGGGGAAGTGGTCGCATTTGAGGAACCTCCGATTGGCGGATGATCACGATGATGACGAGCGCATCGAGGCGATACTTGGAGCGGAGGTATTCGCCGAGATCGTGTTGACGGGGCTTCGCCGGGGCCCACGGGGAGCTCCCGTCGCGCAGCGTACCCGCTTGGGGTGGGTGCTGTTCGGGGCTCTCCCGTCTGCCGCCGGAGCGGGCGGCTCTCATTGTCATGTGGTGCAGTGTGCGTCGGACAACATGGCGGATCTCTTGCGGCGCTTCTGGGAGGTGGAGGAGATTCCGGTTGCTTCCCCGCTCTCTGAGGAGGAGCGGGCTTGTGAAGAGTTTTTCGCGGCGTCCTTTCGGCGTCGTGCGGACGGCCGCTATCAGGTGCGGTTGCCTTTCAGGAGCCCTCCGACTGAGCTGTCTCTCGGCGACACTCGGCGGATTGCCACTGCCTCGTTGCATCGCTTGGAGCGGCGACTGCTTCGGCAGCCTTCCTTGGGCGGGGCCTATCGCGACTTTCTTGTTGACTATGAACGACAGGGGCATATGATCCGCCTGCCGCTCAATGTCGAGACCCCGCGGCCCTCTTACTTTATTCCACATCACCCGGTGATTAAACAAGCCCCCGAGCTTAAGGTAAGAGTGGTGTTCAACGCCTCGCAGGCGTCCACCAATGGCCGGTCGTTGAACGACTTGGTGCACGTGGGGCCGCGCTTACAGCGAGAACTGGGCGAGATTCTACTCGCCTGGCGCATGCATCGAGTGGCCTTCTCTGCAGACATCGAGCAAATGTTTCGTCAAGTGCGGGTGGCTCCGGAGGATCAACACCTCCAACAGATTCTCTGGCGAGACAGCCAGACGCAGGCAATATCGGTGTACCGGTTGACCACGGTCACCTATGGCATGGCGTGCGCTCCTTATCTGGCCATCCGCACGCTGCACCAGCTGGCGCTGGATGAGCGGGAACGTTATCCCCGGGCAGCAGACTTACTTCGTCGACAAACCTACGTCGACGATATTCTTGCGGGGGCAGATGACCTTGGGGAGGCACGCAGTCGACAGCGTGAGCTGAGCAGCTTGCTCATGGCGGGCGGGTTCCGACTCAGGAAGTGGGCGGCCTCACATCCGGAACTCTTGTCCGGTATCCCGGAGGGGGACCGCGAGCCTTTGGTGCCTCTGCCGGACCCTGGGGCCGTGGGTGCATCTGTGCTGGGGGTCGGTTGGATTCCGGTCGAGGATGCATTCTGCTTTTCGGTCAACCCCGGGGCTCAATCAGCCATCTCGAAGCGTGGCATCTTGTCAGTCGTTGCGCGATTATACGACCCCCTGGGCTGGTTGGGGCCTATGGTAGTACTGGCGAAGATCCTCCTTCAGGACTTGTGGTTGGCCGGGCTCGGTTGGGACGAGGCTTTCCCTTCTCCGCTCTCGCGACGTTGGGACGCCTTTAGCACCGGGCTCGCGGAGGTTTCCGCGATCCGAGTTCCTCGCTGGACCGGATGGTCGCCTGAAGTGGAGATCCAGCTTCACGGCTTCTCGGACGCCTCGGAGCGGGCGTACGCCGCCGTCATCTACTTACGGGCTCGACGGTCTGATGGGACCACCCGTATCGCTCTATTGGCGTCCAAGACCAGGGTCGCCCCACTAAAGCGGGTAACGTTGCCCCGCCTGGAGCTGTGCGGTGGGCAGCTGCTCTCGCGCCTCATGAAGGCCATTGTGGAGGCGCTCGGTTGTGCCGAGGCCTCCCTGGTTTGTTGGACCGACTCTTCTGTCACGCTCCATTGGATAACAGGGCATCCATCTCGATGGATCACCTTTGTCGCCAATCGCGTCTCGTACATTCACGAGAGCCTTCCGCGGGCCTCGTGGCGGCATATCCCGTCTGGCGACAATCCCGCGGATTGCGCCTCCCGGGGTTTGTTGGCCGGCGGGCTACGAGAACACGCCCTTTGGTGGCGTGGCCCCTCCTGGCTTGTCGAGGACCCGGCGGGCTGGCCGGGTCTAACTTGCGTCGCGAGCGACCGAAGCACTTGCGAGGAACGGCGCATGGTTCACGTGGTGGCCGTGAACCCGGAGGACTGGTCCGGTGTCCTCCGAGCATGCTCCTTCCGCAAGGCCATCCGCGTGATGGCCTATGTACGACGATTCCTGCGAGTCCCACGGATCAGTGGACCCTTAACGGCGGACGAACTGAGTGAAGCTCGACTGCGCCTGCTGCGGGTTACGCAGCACCGCTTCTTCGCGGAGGAATTGGGCCGTCTGAAGCGGGGGAGCATTGATGGTGAGATCGGCGTTGCGGCCACTCAACCCCATGATGGACGAGCGGGACCTCTTGCGGGTGGGGGGCCGCCTGCAATTCTCAGCGTTACCGATCGATGCACGGCAGCCAGTCCTGCTACCGCGACGCTCTCGGCTCGCGACTCTCGTTGTGCGAGATGCGCACGAACGCACGCTGCACGGGGGAGTGCAGCTGACGTTGCTCACCGTGAGGCGCGAATTCTGGATTCCAGCTGGGCGCTCTTTCGTGCGCCAGGTGATCCGGGGCTGTGTGCGCTGCACACGTCATAAGGGCACCCCGATCACCCCGTTCATGGCTCCGCTGCCTCGCGATCGGGTGTTGCCTCATCCACCGTTTTCTGCCACCGGGGTGGATTATGCTGGACCGGTCGCGGTGCGTCCGTTTCGAGGGCGCGGACGTACCACCTCCAAGGGATATATTGCTGTCTTCGTCTGCTTCAGCACGCGCGCTGTCCACTTGGAGGTGGTCAGTGACTATTCGGCCCCGACCTTCTTAGCGGCTTTTCATCGTTTCGCGGCCCGGCGGGGCCTGCCGGTTGCCGTGTACAGCGATAGGGGGACCACATTTGTGGGTGCGGACCGCGAGCTGCGAGGGCAGTTTGAGGCGGTCATGGCGTTGGGGGACCAGTCGCGGCCTCCTTGAGTAACCAGGGCATCACCTGGAAGTTCATGCCTCCTTCAGCTCCGCATTTCGGCGGACTGTGGGAGGCAGGAGTGCGGTCCGTCAAACACCACTTGCGAAGGGTAATAGGAGAGCAGGCACTGACCTATGAGGAGTTCGCCACTCTTCTAGCTCGCATTGAGGCCTGTCTCAACTCCAGGCCATTGTGTCCGTTGACGGACGACCCACAGGACTTGGAGGCCCTGACACCTGGGCACTTCCTGATTGGGCGCCCGCTGTTGTGTCCGCCTGAGCGATCCCTCGGGGACGTTCAGGTCGCGAGGATGAGTCGCTGGCAGCTGCTCCAGCATATGACGGAGCATCTTTGGGAGCGATGGTCTAGAGAATATCTAGCCCAGCTCCAGGTCCGGGGCAAGTGGCTCATCGCTTCTCGTCCGTTAGACATCGGCGACCTCGTGCTCTTGGCGGATAGCCGATTTCCTCCTACCCGGTGGCCTCTCGGCCGCATCACCGGCTTGCTGCCTGGCCCGGATGGGCACGTCCGCGTGGCGCAGGTGCGCACAGCGGACTCGACCCTGACCCGGCCACTGGTCAAGCTGGTGAGGCTCCCTGTGGATCCGAAAGGGGCTCATCCCAATCAACCTTCAACATGAAGGGGATTAACAGGCCCTCACGGCCGCCAGGCCGCGAGTGGGGCCTTCCTGGTGGGGGTTTGTTCCACCACTGACTTCCGTCGCCGCGACGGAGGCGGGCGGTATGTTCCGTACAGCATCACGTGCTGTACGGATAGTCGGTGCGAGTCAACGCTGCAGGGCGGGCGGCCTAGTGCCCGGGGCGTTCTCGCTGGCGGCGGGGGACTCGGGTTCTCGCGAGCGAGCGCGCGGGACCCCCACTAGGTCCAACCGCGGCCGCTACACGGCGCGGCTCGCGATTCCGCTGCCCGCGGGCAAGATTCGACCGCCCGGATATATAACCAGGCGCGCGATGCCTGGTCCTTGCCTTGTCTTGTCTTCTGCCTGGCCAGTTTAGATAGCAAGTAGTGCTACACGTTAGTGCATCGTATTACTGGTGATTACCGACGCGCTTTCTAGGCTTCCTAGGGCGATCGGGTATTTCGTTTCAGATTCGAACCACTGCTCTATAGACTCTGCTGAGTTGAAGGTGGCGCCGACACACCCTGCTGGGTTGAGGCAAATGGTTCGAATCTCGTTTTGTGATCTCGGGCTCACAGCGTTGCCGTGATCTTAGGAGCGACTCGACCGTCTCCTCGGAGCTTCGAGCTCCCTTATTGCCCAAGTGTCCGTAGGGGCCTTTGGCGGTTTTGGAGCGGCTCGGTCGCAGTCCTAGAGCGTTTGCGCTCCTTCGTCCAAGTGTCCATTGGGAACTTGGCTTTCTCGCAGGAGCGACTTGGTCGTCCTGCGAGCCGGAGCTCTCGGAGCTCCGTTTCCACGCGTCCTCGGGACCGTGGCTGGCTATTGGCCATTACGCCCGGAAGGGCAGGCCATCCGAAACGACGGAGGTCGTTTCGTTGCACGTCCTTGGCGTGCTTCGGGTGCCGCGCACCGTTGACGTCACGGACGTGTGTCCTGCGGGACTTGCGTAGGCGACGTTGTTTCGCTTGTATATAGCTACGTTTAGGTTCTTCTGCGTCGTTCTTCTGCGTTATTCTCTTCTGCGTTACTACTGCGTTTATTGCGTCCATTGCGTTTACACTGCGTGTCACTTTACGTCGGCACGTGCGCGTGCTTCTTCTCTCTTGTTCTCGCCGCCGTCCCTGGGCATGGCCCAGTCGGCGCGCGACGCGGCCTGATCAGCAGGGTCTGTGGTCGCCTTGCGAGGCCCCGGCCTTTGATCAGGACGACCGGACGGTCACCGAGCGGACTCGAGCGAGCCTAGACGCAGGCGGACGTCGCTCTGCGATCCCGTACTTCCAGCCAGCTCTCCGGAGCTATCCTATGTTCGGGCTAGTTCCGAACAATCGACTATTTCCTTTTGCTTATCATTTAATTGATTGTATTGTCTCGTACCAAGTTCTATCATCTGATCAAGCGACATGTAACTTTCCTCTTCAACATTTTCTACTAATTGTTCCATTTGTGAAAAGTCTGCAAAACTTTTACCTTCCGTCGGAAGTATACTGCTAATTACAATGTATGCTTTTCTTTGTCCTTGTAAAATACCAATATGTCTCGTATAATCTTCTGACATCGCAACTTTAAATTTTTCTCAAAGTTCTTCTGAATCTGACGGTTGACAGTGTATCAAAATTTGTGCAAATAATCTGCGAAGTTGTCGTGGCATTATCCACTTAACAGCTTCATCTATAGCTCGTATCCATTCATCGTCATTTTCAATCAAACCTAAAGCTAAACATGTAACTGTGAAAGTTGAGAAATTTTGTTCATTAGCAGTCCTTAGATTTTCAAAACTTGTAGCTCTTCAACAGTGAGTAACAATATTCGTAAATGAAATAATTCTATTTGAGTTGGACTAACGGTATACATTCGTCCTACACAATTATGACTACTGTATTTAACCTAATATGAAACATTGCGACCATTTTTTGTTCGACCAACTTTTTATTTTTTAAATGTATAATAACATGGAATTTCTATATACAAATAATTCCTTGTTTCTTCATCACATAAATTTAGTGCAAAATAGTCTATTAACATAGTAACCTGATCTAAAGCAGAGAAAGTGCGTTATCAACGTTTTCATTTTCAATAGTTTTATTTTGATCATTAGGCAAATGGACTGGCAAACGTATTACAGAGTGACTCTTATTTTGTAATTTCTTTTCAAGTATACGTCAAACAGCTTCCACAGGTCCTATATAACGAGCTTCGATATAATCACGTATTTCATTATGTTCTAAAATTATATTTTCTGTTACTGGTTCAATAGTTACAGCAGCAGCATCGTGACCTTTATAAATGTACTTATAAAGATATTTAACTGATTTAATACTTGAAACTATTTCAACATTTATGTGACAATTAAATATAATTGATAAAATAGGATAATATGGAAAATATGACGATTATCAACTATGTATCCACCAGGACGTTCAAATGTTTCCCAACGTCTCGTCTCCGATAATACGGATAAGCATCATTATCCATTTTAGTTTCTTCAAGAAAAGATTTTGGGTAATGTTTTGAACATTTTCCATCAATCAAACACCAATCACCACAAGGTCCATGAATCATATGTTCATAACTATATCATGTAATCTACTGTTCTCATTTGGATCAGGAATTTCAGCAGATATATATGTATCTACAATTTGAGGAGTTATTTTAAAATCTCGTTTTAAAGTAATTAATATATGAACATGATGTAAACCACGTTTTT